GTACCGAGGAGCGCAAAGAGTCAGAATACGTGCTATGAAGGACACAACCCAATGTGGCTCGGAACCGAAACGGTGGGACATTCACTTGTTGGGTTTGTCATCTATGCGATCCTTGAAGGCTTGGCATCCAGGCACCATCTCTGCTTCTGCTAGGGCGCAGACTTGGCAGACGATGATCGAGGCTGAGGAGTCGTCATTTCTGCCAGACTTGGCGAGGTGCGTAATTGCTGTCAAGCCACAGCTTCAGCTTGATTCCGGCATTGAAGTGCGGGAAATCCTCTACGGTGTCCCAGTGACTATCTCGCCCACCAATGCTCCCCGCCTTGAATCTGCAGACTTTAGTTGATCCAGCCTTACAACCAAGTCCTCAGTCGGCCGCCGGGCCTGTTCGGGGGCCTGGCAGCCTCAAAATGTACCCACTCATCAAGTCGGCACAGATGACCCGAGTGTCTTGTGCAGGCCATGCGGACAGGGAAATTCTTCATCTACCCCCCTAATGCACTGTCGAAGCTTAAGCCGGCCCCGCGAGTCAGGAATCTGTGTACGAGAAGGCGGACGAACCCCGAGTAGCGGTCCTTCCGTTGGAGACAGGACAAAACCACCTGGAACCTCAAACGCCACGTGTGCGGCGCGATCTGGCCCCATACGCCACCGTCTAGACTACTATGGCACGGGTGATTGGGTTGAAGGGGGGGGGGCTGCTTTCTGTTGACTACGAAGTTTCGTGTTTATAAACTGTTGCAGTGCCCAGAGCTTTTCACAGAATGAGGCGTGTCTGAGCGTATTCAGAGTTGTACTCGGGCCTCTTGGCACCTCGACACGTTTGACCGTCAGTGTTGCTTTGCAATGACGGTGGTGTTTTGTCACGCTGACTCGAGGCAGCCGGACCAAACTCTGGCTCCGACGGATGTTGCGTTGCAGTCGGGCTTTGGCCGTGAATGGGGATCACACCTGCCTACCTTCTTGTTTCGACTCAAGCGGGTGCCCGAACACCGAGATCCGTCTTGAGACAATCATCGTCATGTCAACTTCAACGTCTGGCTTGATTGTCTCGGTTCCGCCCCTCGCAAGTTTAAGAGCCCTTGCCGTTGTGAGTAACAGGTTGCTGGACGGAGTTGCGTGTCTTGTCCGCCTGAGCTGACAAGTCGTTGTTTGCAATTCCTTCTATGATGTACTGCTTGGAGTGATCCTTCAAAATTGCCCAGGAGGGGCACTATCTTTTTGGGAAGTGCCTTAAAGCCGAGGATGGGACAGGCTTCAAGGTTGTAATCTTTCCGAGCGGACAATCCTCTCACTCGTTGGAGATCATCCAGGGACAATTTTCCTCTTCATGGAATACCTCAATCGCTTAGAGAAAGTTTCTATTCGGGCCAAAGGTTGTGCTATAGATTCTGCGGTGGCTTCTGGAACCGAGAATACCGGTCCTCACAGCGGCCAGGATCTCGTTGAGTTGGTGTAGGAGCTAGTAGCACGCATTTGCCTAGCCTCATCGCTGCTTAGTGCTTCTGGGAAGCATTTCTAATGGATAGGACATTTTTGTTAAGCAGGCCTCGTACATCCAGCATCAGCCAGAGGTTTCCTTGGTCGGCCCAGCAATTTAGCCCTGGGCGTTTGCACTGCTTCGCAGCCACTGTTTCCCCCCTCAGACCAGTGATGCACGATTGGGATTACTCAACAACCGTAGATTGATACCCCACGAGCCTTGGTACGTCATGCTTAGAGCCGGGGGCCAAGTCCTACAACTCTAGGCAGCATACAGATGGGGCTGGCTATACATCTGTACCGCCAACACTTACTACCAAGTCCCTGACGGAACTACTTTGACGGCCAATTGCTCAGCATCGGGCAGATCTCCTTCTTTGATCAGAGCGGAAACCAATCATACAGAGGATAGCCGATAACGTAGTGCCTAAATGGGTAAAGCAACCCCACCTCCAAGTCATAACGTTATGAGGCAGTCTCTTGACTGATTAATACACATGACGCCAAGTGGATTACATCCCGCATGCATGTCGCTGTTGACGTCGATGACGAGCGGTATAAAAAGAAAATCGATATATCGCTGAGTTTCAATCTCAGGGCTCCCAAGTCCCTCCCTTCGCCTCGTCATCCAATTCACTACAATTTCTTTCTTCAGAATGAAGGCCATCGTCGTTACTTCCCCGGGGCAGGCCAGCCTTGTCACTGATCGGCCTCTCCCTAAACCAAGGGACGAGTACATGCTAGTCAAGACGGTTAGTGTCGCCCTGAACCCGACCGACTGGGTGCACATTAAGCACATCGCCGACGCTGGTTCTCTCATTGGCTGCGACTATGCTGGAATCGTCGAAGAGGTCGGCACTGGCATCAAAAAGCCTTTCAAGAAGGGCGATCGCGTTTACGGCTTTGTCCACGGCGGCAACTCGGTCCAGCATGAGGATGGCGCGTTTGCCGAGTACATCATGGTCAAGGGCGATGTCAGCAACATCATCCCCGACAACCTGAGCTTCCAAGAGGCGGCCACGCTGGGGGTCGGTGTAGCAACTGTCGGCCAGAGCCTGTACCAGAGCCTGAAGTTGAACCTGCCAAGCGCACCGATCACCAAACCCGTCCCTCTCCTCATCTACGGCGGATCCACGGCTACTGGCACGCTCGCCATCCAGTTTGCCAAGCTCTCCGGGTACCAGGTCATCGCGACGGCATCACCCCACAACTTTGATCTGCTGAAGTCTCTTGGAGCCGACGCTGTCTTCAACTCTCGAGACTCCGCAGCTGGTGAGGAGATCCGCAAGTTCACCAACAACAATCTGAAATTGGTCCTTGACACGATTGCCACCGAGTCCGCTGCCAAGTTCTGCGACGACGCCATTTCCACTGAAGGCGGAGACTACTCTTCCCTTCTTGCGATCAAGATTGAGAGGGAGAATGTCAAGGATCGCTGGACCCTTGGATACACCATCTTTGGCGAAGACTTTGAGGCTTTCGGGTCGTGGAAGGCAAGCCAGGAGGACAGGGCTTTTGCCGAGAACTTTTTGCCGCTTGCTGATAACCTCTTGGCTGAAGGCAAGGTTAAGGTGCACAAGCCCAAGAA